GGCAGGGCCTGCAGTGCTGAACCCTCTAAATATGGGGCAGGGCCTGCAGTGCTGAATCCCCTAAATACGAGGCAGGGCCTGCAGTGCTGGACCCTCTAAATATGGGGCAGGGCCTGCAGTGCTGGACTCACAAATATGGGGCAGGGCCTGCAGTGCTGAACCCCCCAGATGTGGGGCTGAACCCCCCAGATATGGGGCAGGGCCTGCAGTGCTGGACCCTCTAAATATGGGGCAGGGTCTACAGTGTTGGACCCTCTAAATATGGGGCAGGGTCTACAGTGCTGGACCCTCTAAATATGGGGCAGGGCCTGCAGTGCAGGACAAGGTTCTTCCCTGCCATGAGACCTTCCCCACCACCTGCAGAAGTGCCCCATGGGCTGGTGTGATCCCAAAGGTTCACGGGGGTCGGGAATCCGGGGCCTGAGGGACTTTGGGGCGCGGAACGGCCGCGCCTGGAGCAGCAGCAGGAGATTGCCTGGCGGGCTCAAGGGGTGACTGCCAGGAGGTGTTGATGCCAGAAGTGCCCCCAGCCCTCTGCCCCGGGGTGGTTTGCCAGGCTGGATTTTGCCCCCCCACCCCGTGCCCCTGGTTTGCCCCCAGGACCTGCTCGATGCCCGGCTTGTCGGGGTTGAGCAGCGGCCGCGTCTCCACGTGCTCGGGGACGAGGCGGCAGCCGGCGCGGGGAACGTCCTCCCAGTGCCGCAGGGCCGCCAGCGCCACCGGCTCGTCCGACGCCTTCTTCTGGCCTGGGGGGGCACGGCAGGGCCTACAGAGCCGGGCAGGGGGGCACCCCGTGCCCACAGCCCTGCTCCAGCTCCTCAGGGACACGGTCTGTCCTGCAGCCAGCACTTCCCAACTCTTCTCCCTCTCCCCTCTCCATCCCTCCATCTCTCCAGATCCCCCTCCAGCCTTTGTTTTCCCAGTCTGAACCAATTCCGTGTTCATTGACATGGTCTCCCCCCTCTCCCACTGCCTGGGGGTGCAGTTCCATGTTGAACAGCTTCCTGAGCCCTGGGAAGGCCAGGCTGGGCCTTGCTCCCAAGGGGTAGAACTCTCACTTTCCCTGGGGACAGTCTGTCCTTCAGCCAATGCTTCCTGACTCCTCTCCCTCTCTCCTCTCCATCCCTCCATCTCTCCAGATCCCCCTCCAGCCCATGTTTTCCCAGTCTGAACCAATTCCGTGTCCATTGACATGTTCTCCTCCTCTTCTTCACCCCCGACCCCCCTCCCTCTTTCTTTTGGGCACACGTTGGGTGTGTTGGGCACAACCCCCATCTCCCACTGCCTGGGGGTACAGTTCCATGTTGAACAGTTTCCTAACCCTGGGAAGGGCAGGCTGGGCCTTGCTCCAAGGGGGCAGACCTGCCCAGTGCTCTCCCTCTCCTTGGGGACAGTTTGTCCTTCAGCAAACACTTCCTGACTCCTCTCCTTCTCCCCTCTCCATCCCTCCATCTCTCCAGATCCCCCTCCAGCCTGTGTTTTCCCAGTCTGAACCAGTTCCATGTCCATTGACCATGTAGAGCCACCATATCTGTTGACCATCTCCTCCTCTTCTTCACCCCTGACCCGCCTCCCTCTTTCTTGGGCACACGTTGGGCATGTTGGGCACAATCCCCCTCTCCCACTGCCTGGGGGTGCAGTTCCATGTTGAACAGCTTCCTGAGCCCTGGGAAGGCCAGGATGGGCCTTGCTCCAAGGGAGCAGAACTCTCCCTCTCCTTGGGGACAGTCTGTCCTTCAGCCAACGCTTCCTGACTCCTCTCCATCCTTCCATCTCTTCAGATCCCCCTCCAGCCCATGTTTTCCCAGTCTGAACCAATTCCATGTCCACTGATGTGTTCTCCTCCTCTTCTTCGCCCCCGACCCGCCTCCCTCTCTCTTGGGGACACGCCAGCAGGTCCCTTTGGGGTGAGGGTTTGCAGGGTTGGGGTGATGGGGCTGCTCAGTCTGTCTCAGGGGGGTTGGACTGAATGACCTCCTAAGGTCCTTCCCAGCCCAACCCGTCCCGTGGTTCAAACTGTTCCGTGATCCCAATCCTGGAGGACGAGGGGACAGCCCTGGCCCCGCTCCCCTGCCCAGCCCTCACCCCACGGGCTCCTACCGTTCTCATCCTCGATCTCCGTGGGGCCGGTGAAGACCCTGTTGGCGACTTTGACTCTCCCTCCCGGCCCGAAGTGCGGCCCGTCCACTTTCCCCTCCTTGCACAGCTTGGCCAGGATCTGGGAGGGCTTCATGGGGTCCCTCCAGGCGTTGTAGCCGTGGCTGTGAACGGGAGGGCGAGACTTGGCTTTTCCAGGCCATTCCATCCCCCCTTCCCAGCCAAA